TGACCCAGCGTGGGCGATCCCACCAGATGTGGAGTGTGTGTCGGGACGGTGGCGAGGGGGCAGCTCGCTCTCACGCGGGGAGGCCCCCCCCCCCCCGTCTCCCCAAACTGCCACAGAGAGCATGGCCAGAGGGCTTCTGTCAGCACCGTTATCAATCATGCTCCCTCGCTCGCTTCTCACTCCCTCGCGCTCGCCCTCGCGCCACCGTTTGCTTTTTGCGCCGTCTCTCACTTTGTCTCCTTTCTGCTTTTGTGTTTCTCTCACTTTGCTTTTATTTTTATTTTTTTGGGGCTCTTTTCTCTCACCCTCACATTTTCCTTTTTACCCCTCGTCGCTTGCGATGCCTTCTACCGCACTCTGTACTTAAGCCCAAACGCCCCCCCCCCCAACCCCAACCCCCATCTCCCTGCCTCACACATGTACACGCTTTAACCTTCCTCGTACCACTTGCATCTTTCTGATCCGATGCACACGCGCAGCTTGTCGTGACCTTCACGCTGCGGGAAGGACGCAGCAGGCGAGGCGTTCCCATGTGAATTTAGTAGGCAACGGTGAGTAAAAGTTAAAGTTAGCGCGACTTTATCGCAGTCCAAACGGAATGTATTGCACGTTTTGCTGGCTTTGGGCGCTTGTGTGCATCGACTATTTTTATTATTATTATTTTTAAATAAAACATGAACAAAAGTGTTACGTTTGGGCAAGAAAAGAAAAGTATATCTCATGAATAGTTTAGCGCAACTTTGCTTCAGTCCAAACTGAATATATTCCACATTTTGCCGGCTTAGGGCGCTTGTGCCTTCATTCAAATATATTTTAAATAAAAAATGTGAAAACAAATCACAACTTGAAACTTGTATGGAGAGTATATAAAAAAAATAATAAAGAAAAATGTAAATAAAATCTGCTTCATAAATAGCCACATAAAAAAATGAATGAAAAAAAAAATTAAAAAAGGGAAGTCTTAACGCTGAATGAAAATGATTTGGTCGTAAATGTCTTGCAATGTTTTTGTAAAAAAAAAAAACAAAGTTTTTACTCAAAAGTTAACGGATTCCTCCTAAGGGTTAGCATTAGGTGTAAGCGGCTAACCTGCTGACAACATCATCTCCTTGGCCGAGGTCACGGCATGAGGCCAGACGGCGAGGCAGGCGGCGGTCACGTTTTGGCGAGAAGACGCCAGTCGTCCCCGCCATGCGGTGTGAGGCGTTCGCTGACACATGGCACTTTGAAGGCCCCCCCCCCCACCCCCATCCCCATCCTCACTCCGCTGCACCCCACCCGGCCCCCTATATCGCTGCCATCCCTCACATCTGCAATGAGGGCAAATGGGTTACAGCCAGCACAACAGACAACAACTAAATAAACAACATACCTGGGGTGGATCCCCTCCAATTTCCGGACTGCCAGTCTGGCTTTGGTGCATTTTTAAAACATCACTCGGTAATTGAAGTGGAGCGTTCACACTGACACATTTGCATGGGGAGGGGTTGCGCTGCGTGCATGTGTGTGTATGTTGTAGTGAAGGGGGGGTCCGGGTGTTAGCAATGGAGCAGCTGGTACGCACCAGTATGACTGCGGCTCAACCAGTCCTCCTGACTTCATATGTAGCACTTAATTGGTTCCCAAGGCAAGAATGAAATATTTAGCTCGCACGTCCTTTAAAATGCGATTGATTTTGATCTGACAGCTGTGCCTGTCCCGCGCGAGGGGAGCGGGAGAAACCGGGAAGAGGCTGGCGAGGGCCGTCTGGGCTCATTGCCTGCGAAGAGCGCCACAACACCCACTCAGGCGCGCACAAACGGCGCGATATGGCCACGGCATGTACGGATCGCTCGCGGATGCCATATGCTATCAGCCGAAGCCTCCTTTCAAACCCCCGCCCCCACCCCACCAACTCCCGTTCTTGAACCTGAAAGACGCACAAAGCTTTGCGTCCACGATTCAAAGGTGTTATTTTATCTCAAGTGTCTCATGTATAGTTTATGAAAAAAAAAAAAAGTTCGTCAAGCATTTTGCAGATAAGTCCATAATGATTAGAAATATTGCTTAAGTGGAAAAAATAATGTTGTCGTGGACAAAACGCGAACATAAAAAGGCCTATGAATGCCAAAAGCTAATTATTTAAACCCGCATATATTTGAAAACGTTGAAACTTAAACGGGGAATGGGCAAGTACCAATCCCAAAAATCTGACATTGAGGAAATCCACCCCGGCGAATCTGTGTCGGAACGAAAGATCAGTTGGTTTTTTTTGCCATTAAATTTTGCGTCCCAAAAGTACAAGAGGTATCGGTACTTGGTATTGATGAATACACAGAGTGAATACTTCTACTGACCAAAAGTGGTTTCCAACATCCCTACTTCAAACACTTAAACTTTTTAAAGTACTTGTTTTTTTCTGGTGTACTTTATTTTCTTCGCACCCCTTCTCACCCTCCATGACCAACTCAAATAACATCACTTTGAGGAAATGATGACGACTCGCACGGTTCTCAAAATGAGAGGCAAAGTGTGCTTGCTTCAAGCTGTTGGCTCCTCCCAATTGAGGTTTACGATAAAACTGACACATAAAACATAAACATTGTACATTGTAGAGGTGGTTTTTGCGTTTGGAAGCTAACGTTTTGTCGCGCGGGCGTGCTTCTTCGGAGCACTTTGCGAGCCACCTTGTCTACGGAGGCGGCGCTCAGCTCGCCGGAGATGGCCAATCAAATTGGATTAATGTCACTAATTATTTGACAAGGCAATGGCGTGGTCACGCCATAACATGATAGAAATGCATTAAACCTGCACGGGATCCATGGCCGAGCGGAATCCCCCCCCCCCCCCCCCCCTGTCAAATTGACTAAGCTGCAAATTATGTACAAACGGATATATCCTTTATATAACAGCCGCCATTGCACTCCCCCCCCCCCTCCACTTTATCCTACCTGTCAAGCTGAGAACATCACAGGCTAATTCTTTATTAAGTGAAAGGGCATCGGGGACCGGATGATCCAATTTAAGTACATTGGGCAGAATAGAAGACTAATTAAAACCCATATTTTTACATTATTAATTTTGGAACTTCACTTTTAATGAATGTGAAATGACAGGCCTTCCATTTATACACACGTACACTTTGGGCTGCTCGGCGGGGGAATACGACTTACGGGTGTACGGCTTGACTGCAGGGGCCGGGGAGGATGTGGTTTTTTCCCCCAAGCATCCATGGTAGACTTGGTGTCGAAAAAGTTGGGACAAAGGTGCGCACCGCCAACCTGATCCCGATTATGAAATTGAGCTTTTTTTTTTTTTTTTTTTTTTTTTTTTGTAATTGAGCGCAGCATGCACCGTTTTTGGCTTTCTTAGCTGTTGGCGTCCTAAAATGCCATTTGCGACTGGAGACAAGAAAGTAATCAGGACATCTGTAGCCAGGGGTGCAACCTTGTCATTGTAGAACTACCTGCACAGTGGCGAGAGGAAATAAAAGTGACACACAAAGAAGTTGTAACATTACAGCAGTCAGGTAAAGAAAAATCTACTTGCAAGAATAAATCAAGTCATATGAGGAAAAAGTATGACGAAGAAAATAACATCAAATTACGGGAAAATTAAACGGGAAAACTGATGCAAAACGTGTGCACAGTTACAAGAAAAATATTGCAGTGTCACAAGGAAAAGTCTGAAAGTTGCGAAGAATCGTCACGTAACAAGCAAGTTGGAGTTGTACGATGAGTGAAAAAAAAGAAAAAAAAAAGGCATTGTACAAAAAAAGAGGAAACAGGAGTCATGAGAATAAATTTATCATTTTACCCCAAAAACCTTTAACGTTAAAAAGTCATAATTTTACAAGAAAATACATTTAAAAAAAAAACAAAACAAAACAAAAAAGATTTTTAAGAATAAAACAGTCATGCTGAAAAAAAAAGTCCTCTTGCCTCCAAAAAAATGTAACGTTGCAAGATAAAAGTCGCAGCGGTTTACGAACAATCTCGTAATGTTACGGGAATAATCAAGTCAAGAAAAAGTTCCAAGAAAAAAAAGTCACACGGGTACGAAACAAAAAATTCCGTCGGGACATTGAAGGGGTCACGTCGGCTTTTCGAAATGGAGCGTAACGCACGCCGTTTTTTTGGTGTCTTTCTTGGCTTTGGGCGTGCGAAAAAAAAAAAAATGCCACGGAGACAAGAAAGTAATCAGGACGTCTGTAGCCAGGGGTGCAACCTTGTCACGCGGCCTACCTGCGCCAGGCAACTCCAAATGGTGTGTGGCCCATTTCGGCGCTGTCCATCACGCCCTCTCATTAGGCAAATGACCCGCCGTCTTAATTGAAAACAGGCCAGCAATGCTCCAGGAACATTTTTGCCCCTCACCCCCACCCCCATCACAAAAATAAAATAAAAATAATCATAAATGCAGTGTGGGAAAAAGACAGAAGGAGAAGGCGGGACTGGAGTGTTTCCCCTCTTCTCTGGATGCACTTCTCATTCCCCACAGGCTAATGCATCCTCACATCCACAAATAGTCGCCAGTCAGAGGCCAGCCGCTTTGTAAAATTGAGTCAAATATACAAAACGGACATGTTTTCTTTTTTTTTTAATGGCTTTTTTTTTTTTTTTTTTTTTTTCTTTTGCACACCAGCTGACCCCCTCTCGCACGGAATGGAAACCAATCTTTTTTTTTTTTTTTTCTTTCTTTCTTTTCCTCCGGTTTCAGGAAACTCTTGGAAGGCAAAAGCAACATCCTGAGCTGGTGAGGAGACAGCAGAGGTGCTGACACGCCGACAGGCAGGGGATCCTGGGAAAAGCCGCAGACAGGAAGAGCCTGACTGGCTTTGACCCGCCGGGTCAAGGCTGGGGGCTCGGCAACTGAAAGATGTTTCCAAGCCACACTTGCGCGATCATCCACTTTTTTACAGGAAACAACTTCCAAATGCTGTGAGATATGCAGGCAGATCCTTTTTTTTTTTTTTTTTTATTGCTCGCTCTTTTGTTTGGCTCGCCCGTGACATAAAATGCGATTTGGCCCTGAGCTATATTTGACTTATTTGTTCCAGGGTCACTGCATGTAATTGCACAGAGCTTAAGTCCACGTCCCTTTTCCACCATGCGAAAACTCTCCTCATTTTTTTCCCAGTTCACATTCAACATGTGCTCTGACTAATACAATTATGCCGTGAAGGCCAAAACGGCACCGTACAAAGGCGTAGAAGGGCAACGCTCCAAAGTAAATATGTTAAAAAAAAAAAAAAGAGAGAAATAGCGGAGTAACATTACGAGGGTAATAAAGTCTTAATGTCATAAGAATAAATTTCTCATGTTATAAGAAAAAAAAAAGTCCGAATACTGTGAGAAAATGTATAAATAAGTCAGTCAGAAGAAAAATGAATCATTCACGTTCAGAACAAAACTGTTGCAATGTCATGAGGATGAAGAAGAAGAAAAAAAACATTGCCAGAAGAAAGGAGTCATGTTAAGAGAAGAACATTATAATGCAGTGACGGGCCACGTGAATGCGCCGTTGTGGGAGGGACCACAGCAGATTAGCCTCGCCTGCGCCTCCATCAAAATCCAGACAAAATTGCTTTACACGATCTGCGTCACGACTTCGACCTGCTTTTACCCGGCCTGAAGTCTACTTTTTGTCACCAAACCGCAAGTGAGACGGGGCGAGAACTCGACTTGCCCTAGCACGAAAACGAAGACGTGCCAGTTTTTACCCCAGAAAGTTCACTTTTATGCCTTTATTTTGTTAGGGAAGGAAATTGTGACGTTCAGAAAAAATTTTTAAAAAACAAAACAATGTTATGAGAATGAAGTCGTAGTGTTCGAATATTAGCTTCAGCTGTGAGTCTGCACTGGTCATATAAAAAAAAAAAAATGTTTAAAAGGAAAACAAATCAACATTCCAAATATTACGACAGGAAAGATTTGACAAGAAATATGATTAAAAAAAATACAATCCATCAAAACTGGAGCTGTAGGTACACGCCCCTTCAAGGCCCACATCCAATCCAAGAATCCAACCGTATGTTCAGTAATTACACTTCATCAAAACAAATATACTCCTCATATTCGGGTTTATTTTTATTTGCTATTTCAACGTGGCAGAATTTTTTTGAAATTAGGAACCACTGTTATGATGACCCCCACCCCCCGCCACATTATGACTCGTCTGCTGTGATCACAATTTGACTTTATTGTGCTAATAATACTCTTGACTTGATACTCAGTGTGGCCCCTAATCGCAGTTGATACGGCCTCCCTTGTCTGACAAGTGTTTTGAATTAGGCAGATTGTATCTTTTTTTTTTTCTTTTTCTCTCGCTCTCTCTCACTTGCCCGCCAGTGCGAAAGTCTCCGAAGGCCTTTTAGAGTCAAACCAAAAGATGGTGAGGGGAGATTGTCCTCTAGCCGGTCGCGCGCAACGTCGCATAAATCAAGGCATCCGTCGTTTGTCGCCCTTCTGTCTCGGCAGCTCCTGGCACGGACCCCACCGTTGTACCGATTCTCATTTATTTCTTTATTTTTAATGGCCCAAATGTATCCATCAAGCCCTCCGAGTGGCTTGCCGGCCGCCGAGCCGCCCCGGCGATCGATGGGCGCGCCGTAGCCTCCCCTCTCGGCCCCTGCGCGCGCCAGCGAGCTCTCGCCTGCGTGGGAAGGGGGTAAGAGGAACCTCATTTTAGCTGGTTTTCGCCTCGGGCCAATACTGTGATTTTACCCCATGCTCCTGGCCTGACGTCATTAAAGATGCATGATGATGGATACCGTGAATTCAACCTCACCGAGGGGGTTTTGAGGTGAGGAAGAACAGAAAGAGAGAGAGCGAGAGAAAGGGGGGGGGGCAAAAAAGGAGAAAAAGAGCCTTGCTTGTTTTTCAGATCACACTAAGAATAAATCAAGACTGTTTAAATGTCGAGGTTGCGAGTGGATGCATGTGACTAATCTGCCCGTTGCACATCACAGGCGAGCAGACGGAAGGGTGGAGAGGCGCCTCCTGACCAGTTGGTGGTGCTCCCGTCACAGTCAATTCCCGCCGACAGCGCTTTGCAAAGTGAGCCTCTCACAAACACACACACACACACACACTCACAGCACAACGCAATGGCGCACAATGTAGATTTCACATCAACAATCGTATTCATGTTGATTTTTTTTTTTCTCGATCCGAACTTTTCTTTTCTCGCCGCTGAAAATGTGACTAATTCTAGATGATTCTCTCCTCTCTTGCCTTCTTGCGTGTAACGCATCCAAGATGGAGTATTCATGAACGCACACACACCCAAAAAGAAAAAAAAAAAAGCGGGCCTATCCATATGCATGTCGGATTGTTTTCGAATGTGTTCACATACGTGCCAAGTGAATGTCGATTTGCAGCGCGAGGCGCGCGAGTGGAGCGCAGGCCTCTGCCAAGGCCGAGCGAACACACCTTAAACGCAGCACAAAACTTACCCACGGTGGGAATTTGCTTGTTAGAATTCATGCAGTGTCAAAAAAAAAAAAAAAATGTGTGTATTGTTTGGGGTCCGCTGTCATGGGGCCTAAATCACGTCAGCACCTTGTAATGGGAGGGACTTGGAATTGTACGGCAACCTAATATTTCAAAGTTGGACTATCGAGAGGATAAAGTTGGAAGGTTACGAGAGAGAAAGGATGCCGCTACGAGGGGGAAAAAAAAAGGGTGAAATATTACATGACAAAAGTCAGACATGAGGACGATCTTTATTTTACAAGGAGGGCGGGGGGAAATCATTCCATGAGAAAGTATTTGGTGGAAGAAGGAAAAAAATTCATCCTTAGCGTTTTATGGGTGAAAAGATGCGATGCGATGACAAGGAGTAAAATCAATGTTTGAAGAATAATGATGCAAAAAAAAAACAAAAAAAAAATGTTTAAAATATTATGAAAAAAAGTCAGAAAAATGATGACTCGTACCTTGTTCGGTGACCAACCTCATCACTGAATTTATTTCTATTTCCTTCTACTATTTATGTCAAATCAATGTTCCCTTTTCAAATGAATTGAAATTCAATTTGAACCCCAAAACGACAAAACTATTGTATGAAAAAAAAAAAAACAAAAAATACAATAGAAGAGAATATAAAGATGAACCGGTGGCTGGGGCTCTCCTTGCCCACATGCGAGGGCATCACCTGGCCTCAATTGCTCATTTGATCGTTTTTTTTGTTTGATTTATTCTTACGTGAACAATTTCTTCAGGTTGTTCCATCTTTTATCTTTTTGTAACCTTGAGATTTTTCATTCTTCGTTTTTCTTTTATTCAAGAGAAAACGTTTGCCGATTTTGTCTTTAAGATTCAAGCATTTCGAGATGAACCACACACACACACACAAAAAAAAAAAAAGATTTTTAAAAAACACGCCTTTGTAAGTTCTATGATTTTAATTCTTGGAGAGGTATTTTGCGTTGTAAAAGCTTGATTTTATTTCTTCACTTTAAACGCTTCCTCAAGTTTGACATTTCTTTCACGCCAACGGTGCGAAACCACAAAAAGTTCAAGCGCAACAAAGTTGGTGTGAACTTTTCCTCAATGGTGATTAAAAAAACAAAACATGTTACTCAAAGCTTCAATGTAACAAAATCCTCCGTGTGTGTGTGTGTGTGTGCGTGCGTGTGTGTGTGTGTGTGTGTGTGTGTGTGTGTGTGTGTGTGTGTGTGCGCGTGCGTATGTATGTGTATGTGTGCGTGTCTTCAAAAGTGGGATTGACAGAATGGGGGAGAGACATTTGACAGCTGCGCTCCCCGGGTTCAAAGGTCGTGTCAAGCGGCGGACGAGTCTCAAGGTAAAGAGCCTGACGAAGGGTCCGCCTGGTCAATGGCTACGTTTTCGGGCGGGGGGCTGCGCTAATGGGACCTCACTCATGTGTCAGCTCGCCCAGGAAAAGTGGTGCAAAAGAGATTGAACTTTGAAACTGTCCAATTTCCCAGCTTAAAGGCGTCTTATGCACGCCGAGGGCTTATCCGCGTCTGTCCGCCCGTCCGGCCACTCCCGCCCGTCTTCCCACACAAAATCTTCCACAGTATCATCACGTACAAATGCATCACGCATTTAACTCATTCCCCGCCGTCCATTTTCATTTCTTTGTTTCTTCTGACCTATTTCTGATCTTAAGTAGTCGGCAGTCCAAGGTGAGTTGGTGCATGAAAAAAACTAAAACAAAAAAACACCGTTTTTTTAACCAGAAAGTGGAGAAAACGAGTCTGTCGGGGAGAATCGGTGTCTTGCAAAAAGAACAGTTATGAAACACGACTCGCGACTGCGTGGCTGGAGTTGAACGCCAGTGGCTTTTTGACTCGGTTTTCTTTGACGATCGGTGTGACGATCGTCTCAGGAGGACCACGCACACGTTCTACTTGTCATCGCGACACATAGTCTGTTTCTACCAAGGCTCGATATCGTGCCCCTAAAATCTTTTCATCTACTCGCACTTCTGCAACCAGTAAATGTATTTTTTACATTTATTTCATTATATTCATTCTTGAAAAGAAATTTTGCTCGTTGTATAGAATTCATATACTGTCGGATAAAAATAATTTCATGGCGTTCCGAGTAGATTTTTATTTCCTTCTGAATTTTGAATTTAAAAAGTGAATGTGATTCATTCCACAATTTGCTCTCCTTTTTCGATCCGTTCTCACCTACGCTCGCCGGAATTGATTGACTCGCCCAGTGGAATATTTGCAATTCGTCATTGAAAAATAGTGTGGAATATTCTCCGGCAGATCACTGTGAAAAATGTTTGTGAGTTTATTTGATATCCATAGGTTGTCCAAATCTCAATTTATGAGCGCGCGGAGTCTCGGCCTCCTATTTTGCCTGTTTTTGAAATTATTCCGATTGCATTTTTTGACTGATTATTTTCCGTAAGTTTGATGGATTTTTGTTTTTCGATTGTTTAGTTCGCTCGATATGTTGCAGGCCTTGAACAATAGTGCACCTCTGGAGTAAACTACTCTTTGGAATCATTTCCCTCCTAATACTTAGTTACATTCAATGGCTATCAAATTACCGTATTTTCCGCACGGTAAAGCGCATTGGCGTATAAGGCGCACCTTCAACGAATGGCCCATTTGAAAACTATTTTCATACATAGGGCGCACCACATAATAAGGCGCATGGAGTAGAAGCTAGAATAGTGGCTGCGGTTACGTTACGTATCCACTAGATGGAGCTACACTAAAGGGAATACAATACAATACCACTTTATTTATACAGCGCTTTCACAAGCGCTGCAGCTGGATCAAAGCGCTTTGCAGAACATTTAAAATACTACGTCCAAGAAATCAGAACATTGATCCATATAGGAGGCGCATCGGATTATGAGGCGCACTGTGTCGGCTTTTGAGAAAATGGAATGTTTTTCGGTGCGCCTTATAGTGTGCAAAATACGGTACTTTTTAAACTTCAGTTTAAAGGCCAAACAACTCCAGACTTTTATTTAAGTCAAACTGGACAAGATGACTTTTGCCAAAGTTGTTCCCTGTTAAATTACTTGTACTCAAGTATCACGTTCAGGTACTTTTTACAAGACTGCTTTTAGCCTGCTTGTGTTTTTGAGCTCCGAGCACGCTCTTCCAGCATTCCCGCCTTAACCGTCCCCCAGCTCGGGGAGTTGAATCCCCCCCCCCCCCCACCCCATCACTGGAAGACCCTGAAATAAGGCCTTTATCAGCCGGGCCCACACAGTATCAGGGGGCTCCTCCGGCTGCCTCTATTGTGGCGTCGGAATTAAGCAGGCATCAAACGGGAAGAGCAAGCCGTTGTCGAGGCATTGTCTGGTGTTATTTTAACCGGCTTAGCGCGAGAGCCTCTTCATGCTGGAGTGTTGCGGGCGCTGGATGCCGATGATGATAAGTGGCGCATTCTCCGTTAAGACCGCTAAGCTGCCGCGCTGGCTCCGCCGGCAGCACGCCGCCTGGCTCAAGCCTTTTTCAATAGGTTAGCGTGGTCTTATCCTGTCAAAAGCGCTGACTTGGCAGTCCGACGCGCGGCCTTTATGGTCTCACCGGTGGGAGCGCTCTTTTATTTCATGATGCGGACTTTATTTATTTCTTTTTAATAGAAGGGGTTTTGGGGGGGGGGGTAGTTCAGCACCCACAAAGAAACTTTTTTCAAAGTATCTTTATGATGTGTACGTTTGCCGTGGAAACCTTCCTGTTCGAGCTCGCCTGTTGTAAAGTTAAAAAGTTTGGAAAGAATATTTCTGAGTATTAAATATATTTCCGGATGGCCCGTTGCCTTTTCAATCCACCCGTTTTCATCCACGTCATGGCGCGGCCATTTTGACGGGATTGGAATTGACGTCAAATGTTCTAATAGTTGTGTGATTTTTTTTTTTTTTTTTTCTATTTGACTTTTTTACTTCTTAAAGTTTGTTTTAATTAGTTATTCGAGCAGGTTTGGTACTTTACAAACAACACAAACATTTCAAACATTCGACATGAACACAAGTCGAAAAAGACAATTTTAGTTTTTATTTTTTTTTTTGCGGCAACATAATTTCAGCGCGTTCCTTATATCCTCCGTCCGTCGTAAACGCCGCCGGCAAGCAGCACGGGCATCATTTTCCTAATGGCAGCAAGAACACGTAAATAGGCGCCATAAACACACGCACAAGCACGAGGGGAAATATGTTTTTTCCCCGATTTAAACTGCGGCATTTTATTTACCGGCCTGCTGAATAATGGCCCGGCGAAGATAGTCGGAGGTTTAATTCCTGTCGTCTGTCGTATTCGGGGCCCGTTAAGTGGCGTCATATGTCACGTTGCTGTAGCTTGTTGAAAGCGGCCGCGACATGTTAATAGCTTCACCATCAGTTACGTGTTCGCTTTTATTACCCGTTCGGCTTGAGTTCCATCTTGAGTCTGTAATTTTTAAGATGTTTTTTTTTTCTTTCTTTTTTTTTTTTTTTTTTTATGGTTTTAAGTTTTTGTCATAAGTGTAAACTATCCAGCTCGTCTGCTGCGCGAATGCGCCGGTTGTAAAACACTCTCACTTGTGAAATGGTGAAATATTCTAGCGTCAATTAGCTGGCAACCGGTTCAAGGTGTCCCTCGCCTACTGCCTGAAGACGGCTGGGATAGGCTCCAGCGTCCCCCGCGACCCTTGTCAGGATAAGCAGATCGGAAAACGAATGAATGAATGAATAGCAAAACTGTACAAAACATTGCGTAATAACATTAAATAAACTGTACCCAAGGAACCTCACCTACAAAGTTGGTCTTTACGGCGGTAATTGGAGAGCTAAATATGTTTTGATGTAGTATTTGGTATTAAAAAATAATAATAAATACAATAAGATGTTCATTCTTGCCAAAACTAAGAATGTTCCATCAAATGTAATCTGGGAGAAAACATGAAGCCTTTCATGCACCCTGGAACCTGATAACATGGTACGCTGTCCAATGGAGTGACCGCTGTCCCTCAAAGGTTTAAAAAGCTAAAAATAATAATAATAATAATGAATTTAGTAAATATTCTATGGTTTGTATATATAAAGAGCTAAAATGTCAAAATCAGACAAAAATGGCCACCCCTGGGATGTTTCATAACATTTGCATGAACACGAGTATCCTGTTTCCAAAAAGTGAGGTGAACATAAAAAAAAAAAAAATCTGGCAAGTAATAACACCTCATCAGGAAAAAAAAAAAAAAATGGGCGAGGGCCAAATGCTTTTGTGCGCGGCGTAAAATGCACGCTAATCTGAGCGAAAATGAATTTAGGCCAGGGCACCGCCGCTACCAGCCTCCTCCTCCACCACCGCCGCTGCCGCCGCCGCCATCTCGTCTCGTTCGCAGTAAATTTTCACTTCTGCACGCGCGCAACTGATGCTCGGCGGACACCTCGCCTCGCTCCCGAGCTGTCTCATTACCCTGCCTTTCAAGTGGCGGGAGAAGAGACGGGGGTGAGAGCGACGAGACGGAAGCACAAGACGACGAGGGGGCAAGGAGGAGACGAAGCGTGTTATTTTTCAAACGCCGTTTCTTTTCCACCCCCCCCCACAGCCCACCCTTCCCTTCCCTATTGTTTGCCGCGAATTCACACCGATTTTTTTCAAAAAAAAAAGTCTCACTTCCCTTTCTGACAGATGTGGTGTCATCGCTGCTGTTTAATTAAAAAGGAAATAGAGGTGATGATTGCAACACAGACGTGATCTGATATGATAATGTATTTACAATCGTCGAGATGAGCGTCATTAAGGATGTGTCAAGGACAAAGTCACCCTGGGAATTTTGCTGAGGGGTCCGGAGCTGTCAAGTGTGTTTCTTTCTGAGGCGGGCTGTTTGTTGAGATTGTCAGGCGGCCATGACAGTCACAATTAAGAATTTGCGCGCACACACACACACACATACACACACACACACCAAAAAAAAAAAAAAGATGTGATGGTTTTTTTATGTTTTTTATTTTTTTGAGCTGGTGGCCACTTGAAATGAAAGCAGTTTTATACCTGAAGCAAAAAAAAAAACAAAAAACAAACAAAAAAAAAAAGACAAGCCCCTTGATACTATACGGGACTCCATTAGGAGCTGACTTTGAGTTATTTTATGAATGTTTCATAAGCATATGGAAGCTTCATCAAAACAAATTGTTTCCATTTTGACAATTACCCGCGACAATCGGCGGGCCGCACCTGCCCAGGAAGGGGAATGAATAATTTCCAGTCGTTTTAATTGCTTTATGTGACAGCTAATCATCAAGGCCTTCATTTATTTATCCGGCTTCATTTGAACTTCCTCCTCGGTTGATAACGTATATCCAGCCTCGCTCTCTAGAGTCGTGCCACGCTGATTAAACTGTTGCAAAAAAAAAAAAAAATGCTGCCGCCGCGATTATGCAGATGCCAGCCACTGTCGGCCCCGCACAGCACGCTATCGTCAACACATATGCTCCGGAAGTCGGTCCACATCGAGTGTCCCGTTGGTCAGAGGTGGCCTACGTACTCACAAACTAACATGAAGACTGGTGAAAGTAAGAGGGGGTGGGGGTGCTAAAACCGCCCCATCCCTCAGTCGACCACATAAGAACTTCGCTCGCACCAGCCGTTATCATCGGTGCCTGTGCGATGCGCGGTGAGCTAGCTTGGATTCTGAAAATACATGTTTACAGCAAGTCCGCTTTAGAGTGCCCCGTTGTTGGCTGTGAGTGCAAATTTCACACAGATAAATGCAGAAGAGTGAGGACGGCGGGAAGTGGGAGGTGTTGGATTGGATTTTTTCTTTTTTTCTTTTTTTTTTTAAATTCATGACAGTTTTAGAGTGCCCCGTTGTCATGCATCAAAACTGTTGGAATATTGCAAAAAATTGATTTCTTTGTTGTTGTTATTGTTTTTAATAATATAAATGGACTTAAAGTAAAGGAGTACAGGCGTGGAAATGTCTGTACTAAAGTTGTTGGAAGTTTCAGGTTGTTCCAAAATGGAAGTTTTACTCTCAATCATATGCAAGTTGACATCTTGGCTCCAACAAAATTCTCACAAAATAGTTTCCCTCTTCAATAATTACATTAAAAAAAAAAGTTGTATATTACATCTTATTTTATTGAACTGAGTAAGAACAAAAATGCAATACTTTTTTTTTTCTTTCAGGTGAGACGGAGGTTTTTGAACGTCAGAAGCTGGCGGTTTTTGGGGTGGCACAAAACATATTTTCCAGAAATCATTCTCGTGGCTGACAGCGTTTTGAAAAAGAAACCTTGACCTTGACCTCGACCTCTATTTGTTTACGTCTTGTCGTCATCCGCGAAGGCTGCATGAAGTAACGAGCCTAATTTTACCAAGTGAGTCGTCGAAACTACAACGGTTGCTTTTCTCATGTCGGGACTAAGTATCACAAGCATTCTGAAAAATTCAAAGCGCAAGGACACAATCTGCTCAAATGTACTGTAATGGAAGTATTTGTCAGGATTTGTACTTGCCACCACTGCACATCAGTCTGAGCGGTGACATTCTGGCAAACTTGTTGACGGTTTGCACCATTTGAAAGTTAAAGCGCGGCGTGCCGCCCATGGGGGGGTGGGGACTGCAGCGGCGAGGCTGCTTTGGTGCTCGGGCTTGTCTTCTCTAATTGTGCTCACCGTGAGCAGCCAGGCTCCAAATGTCATTTTAATCATGTCGCCGTTTAGGTGGCAAATACATCAAAATTGCCCAACATTGCCTCAAATCAGAGGACAAGCTTGACAGTGTGCAGTTGCGACGGCGACGAACATCTGCACGCCCCCCCCTCCTAAATCTCAGAAGAAGTGGCGCATTAGGCCCCCGTGTTCCCCGTCGCCGGTGGCTCGTCTGCAGCTGCCGGTGGCGTGCCGGGAATCGCTGCGGCGGCGGCTATGGGGAAATCAGCCACTCAGCCCCGCCCCTCCCCGCGCTCTCAGCGTCCCAAGCATGGCCATTAACTGACTGCCAGCAGCTCTGGGAAGGGGAACAACAGATGCCAGCCACTGAAAAGCCTCCAGCTCTTCAGCTCCAGCAATCCCAACTGGGCCGGGACGGGCCTCTGTAGATTTTTGGACATACAGCGAACAAATGTGGACATGAAAAGAGGAGGGGGGGGGCGGGGGGAAGAGGGTTGTCGCGGAGGTAAAGATTTGTTAACCCTCTTGAACTTGACAAGAGACGGGTACCCAGGCGCAGATTAGCCCCCCCCCCCCATCCCCCCCTCAAAGCTTGCTTTGGTACGAGGTTGCCGTGCGAATGTGGGAATATTTGTGGCAAGTGTATGAGCATGTTTGTGTGTATGGACAAGGTGGGTTTTTTTGCGCATCATTGCATTCCGCAGCGAAGGTTAAATTTAAAAGACTCTGCAATTACACGCTTGTAGCACATGACTTCTTCTGTGATCGCACTGTTTTTTTTATTCTCCCCCCTCTTCGATCTCACGTCAGTAGACATGAGCTTGTGATGTAACCGTGCGCAAAGTCAAAACACCTTTCGGGTTGCGCGGATCCAAATTCAACCAAGAATATGCCTTCTGACAAATGTGGAAGTTTCATCAATGAGCAAGTTCCCAAAATCGGAATTAAACATTTCTGCAAAGTTTCGAGGTTGGCCGAGTGGTTTCCCGAGAGGCTGATCATGCTGCGTCCATTTCGAGATTTGAAACCCAACAAGTGGCTTTTAATATGATGCACGCCGAAGTGGAAGAAGGCAAGAAGAGGAGTTTCGTGCTCCCTCTTATATGTTTCAGTTAAAGCCCCAATCCCACCGAGCCAATCGCGAGTGCTGGCGAAGGCAACTGGCTTTCAAGGTTGCAAATGTTTGCCAAACAGCCGCCACAAGTGCGCCAGGTGTTCGCTTGTACTTTTCTTGTCACAAGGGAAATTTTGAACACGTTCAAAAAGTTTCCTTTGCGGCAAGAAATAAAACACAGAAAATGTCGGTCAATGTTTGGCGAGACGTTTTTGCGAACGACGACGAATTTGCGGCCTTCGGAAACACTCGCAGTTGTTTGCCGCTCAGTGAGGTCGGCGCTGAAGAGGTGAGCCGCAGTATTTTGAACCAACTGGATACGTTTGAGAGAGGCCTGACTGGCTCCAAAGTTGACGGAAAATCCAGCCAAGACGTGATGAACGCCTGCATTACCGTTTCAAATTGTGTCAGAAAAGCCTTCATCTCTTTTGGATGAATTTGGTGTCATATGTTGTACTGTAAATGTCACAAAGAGCACAGTTTTGTTTTTCCCCTCGAACCCAGACTGAAATCCAGCGACCACCTCTTGAGTGTCAAGCAGCCGTTGTATTCATCCGGCGTCGTTTAGAACCCCTTTTGTCCGACCCTTGGCGGTTCCATTCCAATTTCCCTCCTTGTGAAAGAAAGAAAAAGTTGTTCAAGACCACACGTGCTAAAGTGATCCAATCGCGTCGACGGAAAGAAACGCAGCGAGGCAAACGATTAAGGCGCCAATGCGACCTGTGGGTGTCAAGGTCATTTGCCGCTACATTACATACTTAGGCTGAGGCGCTTTGACCGCACCAACAAGGAAGCGGGGGACGTATCGGAAGTGGAGGTGTGGAGCGGCGAAGGGTGGGGGGGGCGGTATGTGTGTGTGTGTGTGTGTGTGTGTTGCGAGAGCACAAAGCCTGGGTAAACACAGCTAGCTCTGCATCTGGAACCAACTAAAAAGATGCTTAATAATGCAGAGCCGTGCAGGCGGGCCCGGTGCAGCTGTTGTGTGCGCAGGACCATGAAAGACTCTCCATCTGACAGCTGGCTCCATCGCCCTCTTCCTCTCCTTCATTCCTCCCTCCCTCCCTCTCTCCTCCGTGGTCCAGAGCGGCCAAGAGACAGCAGATTAGGGATTAACCAATCCCTGCCTTCCTCATCTGTCCCATCTGCCAAACAACCAGGCCTGTCCCAACCCCCGCACCCCCCCATTCCGGGGAGATACGGGACATGAGCGAGGAGACAAAAGCGGGAGACGCCTGGGAACCGGAAACACGCTTGGCGGCAAAGACTTTGACCGGGATAGACAGAGACGACATCGCCCCGTCGTCGAACTTGAGGCGACTTTAACAATTTAAAGTGGGCCGCCATGATACACGCCAGCGCTTGCGTAATCTCATGCAGCATTCACACGGGGGCCCTGCCACACTCTCGATATTCAGGCGCATCGTTTTCCCCGCTTTATTTGCGCTTCAGGATTCACATCCCCGCAGTTTTTGTGCTAGGGAAGTTCCCATCCCGGCTCTCAGTATCGAGGTGTACTCGAGACTGCTGATACCACCAACCGATACTCATGACAAACAATATCTGACACCGAGTAAGCGTCACACCGGAACTTGAATGACTTCTTACTCCCGTGCCCGAGTCTCATGGGGAAAAATAGTGTCCTATCAGTGACAACCGCAAATTTACATCTATCGCCAAATTACGACGTTAGCTAAAATACAATCTGAACCGTTTTAAATCAAAGACACGCACAATTCGAATCAATTATTTTCACAGATAATATTTGACCAAACAGTTGCAACATCCTGAGTGGAGAAGACAAAATGATAAGTTACACCTTTCCCAAATGTTTCACGGTGCTTATAGTATGTTTTGTTATTTTAATACTCCCTTTGTATGTGTCGATGCTTCATGTGTGTTAAAGTAGTTTAATTTCTGTTTGCCTATTTATGGCATTTCCTATATCGGCAACCTCTTAAAGTCATGGGCAAAGTCATATTTGGACCCCCCCAAAAAAATCCTTAAATAGCTCTTCAGGATGCTAGCAACCTTTGCTAAAATCGACTCCATCCTGAGTTGAACAGATCCTTCAATCCTCCCCCTGAAATTAAATAATTCTGAAGCATAATCAGTAATTGTTTAATTGTTTTTGTGTGGGTTTTCTGGGAAAAAAAAAAACCCCAAAAAAAACTTAGGCCATGATTTTAGGAAGGTGACGATATGTTAGCATGAAGCTTGTGGAATTACATTTTCATATCTAAATACACAATGTTTGATTCTCTTGTTTTATGTGCCAATTTTTAAGTAAACTTGAACTGGAGTTGACAAACAGCTTGAAGCAAGCATGCTAGACCTCTAACCTATTTGTTTGAGGTTTTTTTTTTTTCCTCAAAGTGATGTTATACAATCGTCACCCATTTCTTGACACAGAGTAAAGGAGGTCAGGTGCGAAAGAACACTTGAAAATGTACTTTTCAAGAAGCTTAAGTTTGAATAAATTTAAACAATATATTTTTTGAAATGGCCTCACGCTAATCACTGTTTTCACCTCTCGCTCAGGATGCTAGCAACCTTTGCTAAACTCGACTCCATCCTGAGTTGAACAGATACTTCAATCCTCCCCCTGAAATTAAATAATTCTGAAACATAATCAGTAATTGTTTAATTGTTTTTGTGTGGGTTTTTTGGGGAAAAAAACAAAAAAACAAAAACTTAGGCCATGATTTTAGGAAGGTGACGATATGTTAGCATGAAGCTTGTGGAATTTAAATCAAGAAAATTACATTTTCATATCTAAAAACACAATGTTTGATTCTCTTGTTTAATGTGCCAGTTTTTAAGTAAACTTGAACTGGAGTTGACAATCAGCTTGAAGCAAGCACTCTAGACCTCTAACCTATTTGTTTGAGTCATTTTTTTTCCCTCAAAGTGATGTTATACAATTGTCACCCATTTCTTGACACAGAGCGAATGAGGTCGAGTGCTAAAGCACACTTGAAATTGTACTTTTCAAGAAGCTTAAGTTTGAATAGATTTAAACAATATATTTTTTAAAATGGCCTCACGCTAATCACTGTTTTCACCTCTCGCATTAGATGTGGACCACATCCCGACGCCAAACCGGAGTTCACCGTCATCCGCCGCTTCCCCGCTGCGGGGCTACGACGCAAACGCACGGGTACGTTCACGCCGCGCACCTGAACAAAGCTGGCACCCTTTTTAAGGCGGCTAAAAATACACTCTTGTATTTTGTCTGGCGAATCAAAGGCGGCACTCGTCTTTTTTCATGGCGTGCCAGCTCACTTTTGGCAGCGGGCACACTCGCAGAAATAATTGCTCTTATCTGTGAGACTCAATAAAAAGAAAGAAAGAGGGGAAAAAAAAAGAGCTTTTCAACTGGGAGGGCGCTCCTCACTAAGTGACTGCTTGTATACGGGATTATAAAAGAGTGACCTCTAACCTATTTGTTTGAGTCATTTTTTTTCCCTCAAAGTGATGTTATACAATTGTCACCCATTTCTTGACACAGAGCGAATGAGGTCGAGTGCTAAAGCACACTTGAAATTGTACTTTTCAAGAAGCTTAAGTTTGAATAGATTTAAACAATATATTTTTTAAAATGGCCTCACGCTAATCACTGTTTTCACCTCTCGCATTAGATGTGGACCACATCCCGACGCCAAACCGGAGTTCACCGTCATCCGCCGCTTCCCCGCTGCGGGGCTACGACGCCAACGCACGGGTACGTTCACGCCGCGCACCTGAACAAAGCTGGCACCCTTTTTAAGGCGGCTAAAAATACACTCTTGTATTTTGTCTGGCGAATCAAAGGCGGCACTCGTCTTTTTTCATGGCGTGCCAGCTCACTTTTGGCAGCGGGCACACTCGCAGAAATAATTGCTCTTATCTGTGAGACTCAATAAAAAGAAAGAAAGAGGGGAAAAAAAAAGAGCTTTTCAACTGGGAGGGCGCTCCTCACTAAGTGACTGCTTGTATACGGGATTATAAAAGAGTCGTATTATAGAAGAGGCCACGTGCTGGAGTGCGAGCTCTGTTTTATTCATTTATTTCGCGGCACCGCGGCCATTTCAGTGACATTAATTAGGGTTCTGTTCCATTTAGTTTTAAGAGAGACGTCAAGTGTAAGGGGGAGCTAAGAACGTTATTGAAGAACATTCCCGTGTCATATCCCGCTTGACAATTTTGCCTTCAAAATCTGCTCTTCCCGCTTTCTTCTGTTGAAATATCAAAACAAAAAAATGGTGAAAGAAAGCATCGAAGTCCTGTCCGAATTTTGCATCGTGATTCCATGCTTGAATGGCATGGACATTGTGCTGCTCTTTCTGCTGTGTGCATCTTGGCCACCAGGGGGCAATGTAACGACTAGTTTATTTTAATACAAGAAACGGTTTGTTTTGGTTCCATCGCCGGGAAAAAAAAAAGAAAAGAGCTTTTCAACTGGGAGGGCGCTCCTCGCTAAGTGACTGCTTGTATACGGGATTATAAAAGAGTTGTATTATAGAACAGGCCACGTGCTGGAGTGCGAGCTCTGTTTTATTCATTTATTTCGCGGCACCGCGGCCATTTCAGTGACATTAATTAGGGTTCTGTTCGATTTAGTTTTAAGAGAGACGTCAAGTGTAAGGGGGAGCTAAGAACGTTATTGAAGAACATTCCCGTGTCATATCCCGCTTGACAATTTTGCCTTCAAAATCTGCTCTTCCCGCTTTCTTCTGTTGAAATATCAAAACAAAAAAATGGTGAAAGAAAGCATCGAAGTCCTGTCCGAATTTTGCATCGTGATTCCATGCTTGAATGGCATGGACATTGTGCTGCTCTTTCTGCTGTGTGCATCTTGGCCACCAGGGGGCAATGTAACGACTAGTTTATTTTAATACAAGAAACGGTTTGTTTTGGTTCCATCGCCAGCTTGTACTCAATGGCCAACCATATTGACTGCCGAACTAAAATGAGCATTAAACATCACCGGAGGGATTTAGCGTCAATATAAAAAAACACCGTCGTAACACACACAAATAGTTAGTATAAGAGTTATTTGAATAAAAAGTCGACACTTTCTGGTGCCACGCTTTTTACACTGCCCTCAAGAGGCCCCAAGCAGCTGGTATTTATTTTAATTTGTATATATTGTTTTACATATACATATAAATATATATGGTCCAGTGGTTAGCGCGTCGACTTCACAGTGCAGGATTTAGTTTTAAGAGAGACGTCAAGTGTAAGGGGGGAGGTAAGAACGTTATTGAAGAGCATTCCTGTGTCATATCCCGCTTGACAATTTTGCCTTCAAAATCTGCTCTTCCCGCTTTCTTCTGTTGAAATATCAAAACAAAAAAATGGTGAAAGAAAGCATCGAAGTCCTGTCCGAATTTTGCATCGTGATTCCATGCTTGAATGGCGTGGACATTGTGCTGCTCTTTCTGCTATGTGCATCTTGGCCACCAGGGGGCAATGCAATGACTAGTTTATCTTAATACAAGAAACGGTTTGTTTTGGTTCCATCGCCAGCTTGTGCTCAATGGCCAACCATATTGACTGGCGAACTAAAATGAGCATTAGACATCACCAGAGGGATTTTAGCGTCAATATCACAAACACCGTCGTAACACACACAAATAGATAATATATGAGTTATTCTGAATAAAAAGTCGCCACTTTCTGGTGCCACACTTTTTACACTGCCCCCAAGAAGCCCCAAGTGGCTGGTATTTATTTTAATTTGGATATATAATATCCATATAAATATATATGGTCCAGTGGTTAGCGCGTCAACTTCACAGTGCAGAGGTTCCGGGTTCAGTTCCAGCACTGGCCTTCCTGTGTGCAGTTTGCATGTTCTCCCCGGGAAAACGGATGGATTGGATTTTTACATATATATATATATATATATATATATACACACACACACACACACACACACACACTGACTCAAGCGGTAGTGCCATTATCTGCCTCTTGAGTGCAGCAGTGGGTGTTATTTGACAACACTTGTCGAGAGAGAGAAAACGTGTTTTTCCGTCACACTTCTGTGCATGGAACAAAACTAATAATTGATAAATGATAAAAATACAGGAGGAGAGCCCCATTCGGGGATAAAGACACACAGCAAATGGTGCGTTGCATGAGAAAGGGGAACGACAGTGTTCACGGCTTGATGTGAAGCGTTCTTGGACTTTACACAATTTGCATTCCAGTCTTGGAGGGAGTGGCGTCACATCTGTTACGATTTGATCGGATAAAAGGATAACAACGAAGGAAGCGGAGAGATTTGCGTTTACCCGTTTGAAATACAGTCACTGGTTTGAGTTTGTGTCAGCCCAAGAAAATATGAAGGTGCGTTGCACATTTGGTGCTGTCGACAAAGTGTTATCTAGCTTCAAAAACACTGTCAGACTATGGGAATAAAAACAAACATGGAATCGAGCGCATTCAAGCTTAAAAAGAAAGACCCACAAGGCTGTGTGACTGTCCGAGGTCCCCAAATGGACTGGTTATATTTCGAAACAATTTTATTGATTATAAATCAAAGTCATAAAAGCAAGAAAGTAACTTGTCATCAAACTTTGTTACTTTTCAAATCAAGTCATCAGGTAACGATATCAGTAAAGTAATTTTTCCAAAGTAACTGCAGGCTTCCCGCATGAAATAATGCCAAAAGGAACGTCTGCTTCCAAGTCATTTTCATTCACCCGCCACTTTGTTCCCGCACGTGTTTTTATTCTCTGTATGTTTTCGTGGCGGATTGTCAGCTAGCGGCAGCGACGGCGGTGGCAGCAGCATTCCAGCACTCGTTTCATATCTTAAAAACGATTCAAACTTAAGGGACCGACTTCAGCTCGGTCCACTTGGGAATTTGGGAAAAGGAAAGAAGAGAAGAGAGAGAGAGAGAGAGAGAGAGAGAGAGAGAGAGAGAGAGAGAGAGAGAGAAAAAAAGTTCTGTCTCCTTTAGAAAGATAGCGGGTGTCTTAACAGGCCCTCAGCTGCAGTACCTGGCTCCCTGTGTGCACACCTTTAAATCACACCCAGGATAGTTGCCTTGTCAAAGCTTTCTCTCTCTCTTTCTCTCTCTCTCTCGCATCTGAGAAACATTAAAACGCTTCCTCATGCAAGCCCGAGCCTCCCACAGGGCAGCGAGCGAGCGAGCGGGAGCAGAGCCTTTCTCTCAGGCCCGGCATCCGGGGAGGATAGCGCTCAGTACCGCTTGGAAAGTCCCAGCTCGGACAGCGGTGGTTAATATTTTAATAGCCTTCGGCTGAGCCAGTTATCGTCGCCGTGTATTCTTGTTGGTGGCTTTGGAAAAAAAAAAAACTCTCTCGCTCACGCTGTCTTTCTCGCTGTAAAGAACCCGATTTGAGTTTTTAATTATTCTTTTTTGAATTCCCTGACCAGCTCGCCTCTGTTCTTTTTTCATTTGTGCGCCACCGTTTTTCCAATACTTGTATCCAGGGAATGCCTGATACTGTCCTACTTAACTTTTCACTTTCTTTTCTGTGATTTCTCATCTTCTTTTATTCCCCGAGCGCCCACCCACCCGCCTCCATTCCGAGGGACTATTACTGATCAATCCTCCAAACACCTGCGTTTATATTGATCACTCGTTCACTTTCCCTTCCTTTGCGAGTGAAGGCAAGCCTTGTCACGCTCAGGTACAAGTGAGCCAATCCCCTCATGAGGATGTTTCGAGTCCGCGAGGCTTTGTTTTGATGTTGTCTGTCTTCGAATAAGACTCATTGATGCCTCTTAGGAACACAGTAAACCCACGCGAATAGAGCATAATTTCCGCCCACCAAAATCATTTTAATTGCCTGGATTCAAGTGGCGCCTTCGCTCGTAACGCCAAAGTTGTCGTATCTCAAATCATCTTGTGCTATAAATCCGTTCCAGCCTCCCCCTACTCCAAAGATTTTTATTTTAATGAGGAAAAGTAACACTCCCTAATCTAAAAACATGTTCAAAAAACGTACAGAAATTATATAATTCAATAGAGTTAAAAAACAAAAAGAAAAAAAAGAAAAGCTCACACTGCAGTTTTGTCATTGTGCTGCTCTTTGTGGTGTGCTCTTCTTGGCCACCTGGGGGCAGTATAAGAGTGACTGGCAAATATAGTGTTCAATGGGATGTCTCAACTCCTCTCATCTTATCAGTACATCACTAATA